TGCCACCTGCTTCAGCGACGTCATCCGCTTTGATGTCAACACCCACGTTCATTACTTTGCCCATCTTTGGGAAGGAAACCCACCGATGGCGCCTCCCAACCCCGCTTACAGCCAAAACGTGCAGGAGCTCAAGAGCAAAATTCTCCAGGCTGCCAAGAAGGAATCGCAGAGCAGAATTTTAAGGCTCTTGGAGTTGAAAGTGCGTATTCGAGACCTGTGGAAGGCTCTGCTAAATGAAAAGTTTGTTTTTAGTTTTAAAAACACTCTGGAAATTGCTGCATACAACAAGTTAGAAACAGTATATAGTCAATGGACCTGGCAGCTGCGGAGTCACGTTCTAGACTTACAAAGGAAACTGAACAATCGTATCAAAAAGGGAGAAATTCAGCACATAACCCGAAGAACCGTTACAGAGGAAGTTCAAGAGAAATATAAGACTATCTTGAATGACTTGGAATGCTATTTCAGGGAAGATGAAGACAGTGGGATTTTGAAGCAGTGGAAAGGAAGCATTGAAAGGAAACTGAACAATCTGAAAGAAGTGCTTATTGATGACACACTGCGCAAGTCTGCAGATTTCATTGAACTGAAGAAGAATCACAACAAACTGGATCAGAAGAAGTCTGAATATGAACAGGAACTTTTGAAAAGAAGCCAAAAGTTGGCTTTGACACTAAAGAATGAAGAGCTGAGTGAAGAAAAACTGAGACAACACTTTGATGGCCTTTGGAAGAAATGGGTCTACGAAGTATCTTCAACTGCACCTCCTCCTGAAGAGCCAAACATAAACCTTGATATTGAGAATATTCTACTGGAGCATTTCAAACAGGAACCAAACATAGGGGAGAAGGTAAAGTGCTTCCTGCAGAAAGATGCCTTTACCATTGATATTTCCGCGCATGTCATGAAGAGATCACTGCGCTTCCTTAAAAAGCCTTTGGACAGCTGTGAAATAGCAAAAATCGAGCAGCTCGAAATGCACATCACACAGCTCGTCAGCACAACCATCGATACAAAGGAACAGGAGGCAATGGATTACAACCAAAGTTACATTTATGAGATACTGAACAAAATAAGAGAAGAGCTGGACTCTGCAGCCAGTGAATCCAAATATATCTTTTCTAATGAATACAGAATACATCTGTCATTGTATCTATGCAAAATGGCAGCAGAAAGGTTTGAAAATATGCATAAGGCTTTCAAAACAGCAAACGACCCGACCTTCTACCTGGAGAGCAAGAGAAAAGACTTTTTCAAAATTTTCCACATTTCCTGCCAAGGAGCAACCTCTATCACAGCTTTTGCTGATTTTCTATGTGAGAGGCTTTCAGCAGCTCTTCGACAGGCCGTGTATGCGAAGACGGCTATCGACATAGCCTGTGAGATGAGGTCTAACTACCCAGCTTTCAACGGCAATCGATCTAAACTAGAAACAGCTATTCTCATCTCTCTTGCAGAGGAAGAGGACTTTGAGAAGTTCAGGCAGTACATTCATTTCCCAAAAGTCTTTTTAGAAAGTTTCATCGAAAACTGTGTTAATAACTATTGCTTAGACAAGAAAAATCCAAGGCTGAAGAACTTCTTAAGTATCTCCTTGAATTCATTCCAGACTCTTATTGTTTCTGCTATTGTTGCTTCTACTCAAGTTGTCAAAGATAAATGTGGAAATGTCTCCCTATGGCTGGATGAATTTTGTAGCAGACTTGGAGATAATTTTGAACTTCCCAGAAGTGATCTGAAAAACATTGAGCATCAGGAAATAAAGGACATAGAGTTCCTTAAGGAGGCAATGAATAAAGCACTGGACTCTGTGCTAGAACAGCTGAAATGGGAATTTTCAGTGGCTGATATGAAACCTTTTAACTTGAAACCACATAAAATATTGTTTGATCAGCTCCATGGATGCTGGGAGCAATGTCCGTTCTGCAATGCTCTTTGTACAAGCACAATACCGGATCATGATGGGGACCACAGTGTCCATTTCCATCGTCCTCAAGTCTTGAATGGAACCCAGTGGACTGGAACAAACCACTTTGTCATTGAGATTTGCTCCACTCTTGTAGCAAGTAACTCTTTTCTTGTGCTTGGTGAAAACAATGAAATTCCCTATAAATATTATAGAAGAGCAGGACCAGCTTATGCCAACTGGAGCATCACACCGGACACCTCCATGCAAGCCTACTGGAAATGGTTTGTGTGCCATTTCCGCTCACAGCTGGAAGAAGATTACCGTGCAAAATTTGCAGGAAAAGGATCAATCCCTCCAGAATGGATGAAGTTTACAAAGAAAGATGTGATCTCCGAGCTGGAAGAGTTATTACCTCAGCACAGTGTCCCACAGAACCAAAACCCTCTGTTAATGGACTGAACGTATTGGCTTCCGCTGCAGGCAGTCCAGAGATTATTCCAGCTGGAAGCTGGATTTTATGTCATACTTTGTTAACTCAGTTCCTGTTCTTATTTCCTTAAACATGTATAAAATAAACTCAAGGGCCAAGCTTCTGGAAAGGCACCAAACAGCAGTGGGCAGAACCTGCAAGACATGAACACAGGTGATGCCATGGCCAATATAGAACATCCTTGGCTTTGACTTTGACTCTGTAACCCACTCATAGATTGTTTAACATATAGACTCCATGAAGCAGTATTTGCCGAAGTTTGTGATTTTAAAGTCTGATTGGACCAATGCAGTCCTCTCATGTGATGTCTTTGGGAATGCAAATATCATGTAATGTTGCTCTCAGCCAGGTCTGTCTCCTGTCTTTGCTCCTCTGGCTCTGCTCTCTGTAACTCACCTTCCCAAGTTCATAGCTCTGTATCAGTAATAAACATTAACAGAAGCCTGTTGGCTGCTCTCACTTCCTGACATTCATGTTGCATCCTGCAGTGCTCATGGAGGAGATGGTCCTCAAGCCCTCTTACCTCCTCGCTGCAGAATCCAGGGTCTCCCGCTGACCTGGTGAGAGTCAGTTGCACTTTCCTGTGGGAAAATTGCATCCAAGATGCCCAGATCCATGGGGAGGCCTGGAGGCTGTCCTGAGGGGACCACCTCAGGATACAGCGATTCCCACAGCTCCTAACACAGGTGCGCAGCGATTGAAGCAACGAGGAACCAGAGTCAGGACAGAGGCAAGGTGTGAAAACCACAGAAGTGGGGTCCTCTGGGGGGAGCTGGGCATGTTCTGGGGGTGCTGGGCCCTGGTTTGGGAGAGTTGTGGGGCGCTGGGCCTGTTCCAGGGGAGCTGTGGGGACCTCGGCCTTTTACAGGGGTCTGTGGTGGGTTATGGGGAGCTGAGGAGATGTGGCCTGTTATGGGGCACTGAGCTTGCTGTGAGGGTGCTGAGCCCTGTTACGGGGTGCTGAGGAGAACAGGGGATCAGCTGAAGCGCTCACCATGTTTTGGGATCAGGAGGAGACTGGGCTAGCAGTGCCCAGCATTTATCTGCACTCGGAGGCTACGTAGGGTTGTAGAGGATGGCCCAGGGCATGAGGACAGGATTCCCAGTCAATGTGACATGGGCAGCCTTTGAGACAGGACAACAACATTGACACCAAGTTGCCCATGAGGCAGCAACGTGCCCTGGTGGCCAAGAAGGCCAATGGGCTCCTGGCTGCAGCAGGAGGAGCGTTGGCAGCAGGGCCAGGGAGGGGATCCTGCCCCTCTGCTCAGCCCTGGGGAGGCACCTGGAGCCCTGGGGGCAGCTCTGGGCTCCCCAGGACAAGAGGGACGTGGAGCTGCTAGAGAGGGGCCAGCGCAGGGCCACGAAGGTGATGGAGGGACTGGCGCAGCCGTCGTGCGAGGAAAG